TACTAAAAAAATACTCAGAACTAAATTTTACAGTAGCCGTGTATAACAATATTTCAAACTGAGTAAAGGCTGACACATTTCTACTTTTTTTGAAAATAATCTTAGATTATGAGCCTTCTGAATTTTTTCATTTGTGGACTATTTATGAATAACTGATTTGAAAGCAAAGCAACCAAAGTGAGGATATCTCCAATCATCCTGAATGAAGGATCACACAGATTAGCCATTCTCATTGTACAATCAAAGATACATGCTGGGAAAAGACACAGAAATTTCTGTATATTATCTGGCTGACATGTAGTAATTTTGAATTATAAATGTCACTGTATACATATGACATTTTTGCTTTTATTTTTATGTGTTCACCCCTTTTCTTTGTCTGATGTCTGGCCCCCACCTTTCTCAATCAAAAGTGCATTTCAGCACTAATTCTGCAACTACTCAAGCATACAAGGGTATTTGCACACAGAAGTAATTCACATTAAATTCAAATTAGGAAAGGTATTAATCTGTGTATGTGAAAGCAGGAGCGATACTGAACTGTGGTCAGGAGGGTAGGTTATAAATTATTTCTGACTCTGATTTCTCATAATTTCTGAAGTAGTTGTATTCACATTTCAAAATAAATACTGAAGCACATACAGCCTACCATCTTTCCTCTCAATATGCATGACATCATCATCATTACTCAGCCTATTGATAATGACTATCAGGAGTTTATCAAGACACTACAAAAGTCCCCTGGATTGGTTGTGCCCCAGTAGGAACAGGAGTGGTTGAATTTCCCAATAAGTCATAGGGCTTATGATCATGAGGCTTCCTTCAGAAGGCATTGTTTCTCTCCTCTTTTTGATCAAATGGTCTATAACAGATGGCTACCTCAGTAGTATCTGTATCCCTACCTTTTGTCTTCTTATCTCTACCCATAAGATCTCAGCTAGCTCATTGTCTAGTCCCAAAGCTCCATGCACTTGAGTCATTATTTGCAAGGAGTACAACCCCTCCTCCTGACCTTCCCAGCCTATCCTTTCTGACAGCCTGTAGCCATCCGTTGCAGCATTAGATGTGCAAGCTATCCCATGATATCTCTGTAATCCCTATGAGATGAAAGCTGTGCATTTGTACATGAACTTCAGATTCCTGATGTTTGTTTCCCATGCCACATGTGCTTGTATACATGCATTTCAGGTGGCTCCCCTGTCATGCTGCTTTTACAAAGGGTGCGTGGGGAGCCTTGATGGCGCTTTCTCCTGACACTTCCCCTCATACCTTCACTTCTCTCCAGGCTATGATGACCTCCAACAATATGTACCTAGTTTTTCAGCCCTCATTGTTAGGCTGGCAAAGATACCCTGATTTTTTAGATTGTCATGTCTCTCCTCATCAGTCTTCATTCCTCAGGAAGGTACTGTCCTCATATAAGCTGAATTTCTGTCTGTAATACCAGCTGCACAGCCATGTGTTGATGCTCAGAGCTTTTGCATCTAAAAAGTATGTGTGAAGATCCTACCTCCTGTTCAACCACCCCAGTGGTTCACAGTCTGCTCCTCTCCAGCCATTGCTTCATACCAGGTGGTCCTCACCAGCCAGAGCCCACCTTCTCCACAGATCACCATGGATCACAGCCTCTGGGAGAGTCATCAGCCATTCCATGCAGCCCACCACCCACCTTACAAATTCTGTCCTGGATCAAGGTCTCTGGTGTGTCAAGGGCTGTTGATCTAGCAAGTCTTACAGGGTATGCCTATGCCTTGTTGTGCAGCCTCCAGCAGTTCCCACACTGTGTCACACATGATTTCTGGGCCCCTTTTCCTCTTGCTTCACTAATTACTGGGCAAATGCTACATCTGTGTCAGCTGCTTCAGTGTGCTGTGCTCATTTGTGTCTTCATTAGTCTTGATACGGGTCAGAAGTGAGCTTCTGAAGTGAATTTCTATCATGGCCACCCAAGGTGCTTCAGATCACATTATGAAGGGGTCTCAGAGTAAGCAAGCTGGATTAATTCTAGATGAAACTGAACTGGGCTGAGCTAGAAGAAAATCAGACTAGAGTTAGTCTTTGTAAATAATCCAGAAAAAAAAAAAAAAGTTCCAATACAGCTGTACCACTTGCTGATGGTGGCATAGGCACAGGGTAAGAAATTACATGAAAATTAGGTCTGGTATAAAAAGCCATACTTCTCCATGGTATTTTTTGTTGTTGTTGAATTTGAGCAATTTACTGTCCTTCTTACTTTCCACATATGCAGAAAGTTACTGTATTTATGGTTCCCACGTGGTATTGAGAAATAGCCTATCAAACCTTCTGTCATACCTAGGGTTCAATGTAATTGGCCTTGACTTGTCATTGTCTCCCTCCCTGTGTACGTAACTGTCACTTGCTGTACTGAAGTGGTTCTGGATATAGGAGCATATTCTAACACCTGCCAAAGCATAGAAACAAAACTGGACCTGTAACAGTCTGGCACCTGTGACATAAAAAATGAGTTTAATAAAATCTTTCACTAGGAAATAAAATTATTAAAGGCAAGGTTCTGGCCTCTATACCAAACTTGAAACTATGTGCAGTATCACATGTTAATTTATTTTGCAGTGGACTACTTCTGTAACACAGATTCATATTATATACAACAGATCCAGGCCATGTGTGTTAGACTGCATTCTTCAACACCTAACCTAGATATCCTGTGGAGTAACTTCCAGGGAATGGAATGTGCCCTTTATTCTAAGAGATTATTCTTCTGTCAAAACTATTCTGTTTGAATACAAGAAGAAAAAAATTCTCTTTCTGTTTTTAAAGGCTGGTAAGCCATGTGCATCATATGGGAAGTTGGGGCAAAGAAGCAATAAGGAACAGGGGTAGCTGGTGGTATACTAAGCTGCAGTATTACTCTGAATCTGTATTATATTTCAGCTTCTCCACTCTTGACTCTTGAGATTGGATCAGGGCTGTAACTCAGTTTCATGGTTGAAGTGCTTTGAAATCTTAGGAGGTTCCACTTTCAGAAGCCTTGAATCACCTAATAGGCATGTGAATTTCATATCTTGGCTCAAAATTTAATGAGAATTTCAGCCACAGGGGCAGGAAAACTGTTGCTGCTTGGTTTCAGTCAAGCACAAACCCATAGGAGGAAGATGGATGATGAGCTGTTATGTGAGATTTTTCTCAAAGCTGGTATTAAAATTTTGGAGAAGCAAGGTACTGGTGTTAACCTAATTGTGTTGGACTTTGCATCAAAGATCAAATCAGTCACATCTTAACCATTTCTCCAGCAATTAGCTTCTCTTTCCATGTAGTTATGCCTCTGCAGCAGTGTTGAGGGACCTGTTGTCATGGTTTGAACATGGCCAGCAGCCAAACACCATGCAGGTGGTCGCTCACCCTTCCCCTGCCTGGAAAATGCGTGGGAGAACTGTAGGGGCAAATGGAAACTCCTAGGTTGAGATAAAATAAACAGTTTAGTGATTGTGATAAAACAAAACAATAACAATAATAGAAAGTACAAATGGATAATGGACAAAGCGATTACTCACCACCTGCCGAACAATACCCAGCCTGCTCCCAGCCAGTGATCCCAAAAGAACAAAGATCTCACCATCGCAAAACCCAGAAGCTCAAGAACTTGCCTCATTTATATACTGAGCATAATGTCACATGATAGGGAATACTAAAAGGGCCAGTCTGGGTCCAACATGCCAGCTGTGTCCCCTCCCAGCTCAAGAAAAGTTAACTCTATCCCTGCTCAAATCTGGGTCCAGCGCTCCAGCTGTTGTTGGAGAACGGCTTGCAGAGAACAAGGCCATAGCTCCCTGCAGGAGCTGATTGCAGCCACCTGAGGTAAACAGAGGAAAAAACCCAGGGTACAGTTATGCTAACAAGGAAGGAGATTCAGGGCTCCGTGATGCTAACAAGGACTGTTATGATACCAAAGAGAGAAGTTGTGGCATATTATGGCCTTGGTAAAGAAACAGGTTCAAGGGAAGAAAAGTGTTTAGGCATACCTGAAATACCACAAGGGGCTGGGATATTATAATGTGACCTTTTAGATGTACCCAATGGCTGAGATATTATAATGTAGCCTTTTACATGTATCCAATAGATTTGTGAGTAGTATGCATGATTATTGTAGAGTGCTTATATAAGGTGTAATTTCTTTCAATAAAGTTGAAGCTTGCTCTATCATTCACATTGAATCGGCTGCTTGCTTCCTCCGCCCGCTGCAAGCTGTGCCCCCTCACTTCTCAGGAAAAATGAACTCTATTCCAGCCAAAACCAGGCTACCTGTAAAAGAATGAAGCTAGGAACAAGATACTTGTGTGGACTGTTGTGGCAGTAGCTGGCTTTGCATTTACAATATACATTGAAACAAAAATTTTCACCCCTCACATTTCAGTCAACATTTTGGCTTGCAACAAGTGAGCCACCTGACTGATGGAAAAAACAAGGCTTTGGGATTTATGTTTAACTGAGGGCCTTTGAGAGACACCACATCAAGCAGTGCAATTGAAGGTCTATTAGTAACGTCAGCAAGCAGAACCAATATTTCAGTGTTATGTAGTTTGATTTTGTCCAAGATACTTCCACATCACATAGTGATTTTTCCTGCAGGAAGACATGATTCTGTAGTACTTCAAAGAATTATTATTATCACGTCTTCCTTCCCTACCCACTGTATTCAGACAACACTTGGTTTTTGAATTTTTTTCCTGAAGAAACTAAAGAAGATCTATTTCCTCCAAACCATAACTATGTATTTATACATGAAAACAATCCACAGTCTTTTAAAAACATGTGTTTGCTGCTAAAATAAAAATTAAGGTCATTAAAACTATTCATTAACAAGTCTTTTTACTTTTTCAAGTGAAATTAGTAATATTTTTGCATAATGCCAGGCTTACTAAATGCAGGATACTGCAATGAAAATTTAGTTACTTAAAAAGAGGTATCAGAAGTGACTTTTTAATTATTTTGTTTCTCTTAATCTGCCTTTTCTTTTCAAGGTGGTCCTAGATGTTGGCTGTGGATCAGGAATCCTTTCATTTTTTGCAGTGCAGGTTGGAGCTAGAAAAGTCTATGTGGTTGAAGCCAGTTCAATGGCAAAATATGTGGAGGTAAGTGTTTTTCACACAAGCCAAGTCTTAGAGTGGTGTAGAGTGAAACTGTTAAAAGATTAAAACTGTTGGGAGATAACAGACATGTGAGCAATCCTATACATGTGCATGCCTCGGCAAGGACATAGAACAAAGAACTCAGCAACCAACACCAGGAGATGGGTTGGGTGGAGAAAGACATTTGAGTGTGGCGCTTATTATCCAATCGTGAGAAGGCTTGAAGCGCGTGGACAAAGCTAACTGTCCAGTCATAAGGACTGTACCACGTACTGTTCGCGTGCACTGGAGAAACCTATAAAAGGGCTTTCTTACTTTCAATAAAGGGGCATTGCTTGATCATACTGGTCGTGTGCGTGTCCATATCGCCCGCATAAAACCTGCCTTGAAAAGGCTTATGCTGTTAAATTTATGTTAAACTGTGCCTCGAAAAGGCTTATGCTGAAGGCTTCAGTGTGATTTTTCTAAAAAGTCAGGTCTATAAAGGGCCGCACTTTCTGAAAGGTAATTTTTGAAGGTGTTCTAAATGTTCTAATGTATCATATAAATAAACCACATGATTGTGGTTCACAGCTGCAGTCATAACTGTGAACGGTTATAACTGTGATTTAACTTCTTACTTGTAAAAGAGGAAAAAAAATTAAACCCAATGCTGTTTTCAGGGGTTCGGTGCAGGAACATTGGGCTGTTTTTTCCTAAGACTCTTGGACAACTGTGTGATCAGACAGCTGAGTTAGTTTCCTGCTAAGTGTGATTGGTTAGGTCTTTCAACCTTATGAAACTGTGTTCCTAGGGTTTACAAAGAACATGTCCAAAAATACCCTTAATTTTAAAATATATTTTTCAGGCTAATCCTAAACAGCAGCAACAGCAAAAATCTGCATGTCTCTTCTCAGTCTCTGCTTGTTTAGATGAGCATTAGAATGTGTGAGGAGAAGTGTGAGCATTAGCATTACAAATTTTGTCAACACTGATCACCTCTAGCTGAGTTTTTAAAAGAGTTTTAACATGGAAGAGGGTAAAAAGTGGTGAGTGGAGGATTTTTCATCCCATATCTAGAAAAATTTTGTAGTATCTAGATGTTGTTTTCTTTTTGCTTTGCTGATCTGGAATATAAATGTTCATGAGCAACATTAGGAGTCCATAGTTGCTCTAAGTCCACATAGTGAGCATGTGGTTGTTCAGTTGAAGGTCCTCCTGTATATCCTGATGCAGCGAGCCAGCCTTGCTCTTGATGAAGGCTGGCAAACACAGATTGTCAGCTGTAACACTGTGAAGGAAATGCATTGCTATTGGAAACTGAGATAATCTGTTTAGGTCTCAAAGAAGAAAATGTAGATATTAGACATTTATATTTCTCTCCAGACAGAAGTAGATATTATTGAATAAATTATTTGTATTTTTCACTCCAGCTTAAATACAGGACTCCATATCTCTCCATATGCATTTTGTATTGATTTATGTGTTGAGTGAAAGTGTTGTTTCATTCATTATTTTCTACTTCTGCCTTATTTGTGTTGCCATTGACAAATGTTTTCTTATCACATGGTGTTCTTAAAGATCTGTGCTGAGACCAATAATCTTTAACAACTTCATCAGTGACCCAGACAGAACTTTTCAAATTTGTCAACCTTTTCTTAGAAATGAATACAAACACTTGCCAGTACAAGAAGCAATCATGTTATTTACCTAGTTGATAGCATGTTAGTGTATAATGATTTTTGGGGGGTTTATTAGTTTTATTATCATATTGGCATGTAGTTTATGTGAGCAGGTTATGGCTGAAAGTCATTAGTTGTGTCATTCAAGTGACACAGTCCTTCATACAGATGTTATATTTACTAGGTTAGCTATAAATAAAGAAGGTTCTATAATTCACTGAAGAGTGTTGAGAAGGTATTTAAGAGCTGTCATTTCACTTCATTTGAGGGAAGCTAAATAATTAAAATATTTGATATAGGGCCGTAAAATTATTAGGACTTTATGAAGTATTCTAGTCTGTTATATAAGTTGTTCTGGAGTGGGTTTTTTACTAACAGCTTTTGCATATTCACGTTTCAGTGAATTAGCTAATAATAACATTAGTCTCTCTAGCTAGAATGCATCATAAGTTTCATCACTGTTACCTAAGTCTGTTTTGGAAAAGGTTTGCTGAAGTAATTATGCACTCCTGTTGATGTTACAATTATACCAATGCAAGTACATCTGTGAGGAAGTGTTTTCTATTATTTAATGGATTGTGTATATTTTTTTTTCCTGGTATCTCTGAACATGAATACAATTATCCTACTGTGTTGTTGCAAAGGATCCTCCATTTTATACAATCTCCCAGCAGACACCTCAGATTAGTGTGAAATAATTGCTTCTTCATAAGTTTGTGGCGGAACCCAGATTCTACTCATTATTTAAACATAATAAATTTAGATACTTCCCAGTATGTCTGAGTACAGTACAGATAAATAGGCTATGCCTCTGTGTAGACATATAGAGGCTTTGAAAAGGTGTTTTTTCCTTAATAACTTGCTGAATCAAGCATAAAATGTTATGTCCATTTCTTCTGTTCATTAAACGTTTTGCTCTGAGATTCATTATGCACGTAGAAGTGGATAAATCTCCAGTATCCTGGCTCTAAGAACTGGCCCATATGTTATACGAATACAGTGCTATGCTCTATTTATGCTTAGAAATCATTCACCGTAAACTTTTCAGCTCTTGAGTTTCTTCATCTTTTATGGCTATTTAACCACTCAAGAACAGTATTTTTTAAAATTTGGAGAATTATGAAGACCCTTTCTTTGTAATTTTCTTCATTGGTTTAAAATATCCACCTTTTTCTGGTAGGTATTTCTTCCTGTAGATATTAATTCCAGTTTCTCCTACAGCACAACAGTATTTGTACTGTCACATGGTGATTTCACACAATGCATTTCTTTAAGTTTGTTCCAGTGATCCCCCATCTTTAGAAATTTTAGTTCAGCAAGGAAAAATATATTACCTTTGTATTTTATTCTGATTAACAGACTGAAGTAGTTAGTTTACACTATAGGGGATTTAATGCTAATTAAAGATCTCTGATATAAATTTTGCTAAATAAAGGAGTCAGCAATTTCTGTGTGCTTTTATTTTTCTTCCAGCTCCTGGTGAGAAGCAACAACCTTTCTGACAAGATCACAGTTCTGTTTGGAAAAATCGAGGAGATCTCCCTGCCTGAGAGTGTCGATGTGGTAATTTCTGAACCAATGGGTTATATGCTGTTGAATGGAAGGATGTTGGAAAGTTACCTCCATTCCAAAAAATGGTTGAAGTCAAATGGTGAGTATGTCACCATAGTTACCTCCTTCATAGAGAAAGGAAGATAAAAAGCTTCTGAAAGAAATAAAAAAAAATACTTGAATTGGTAGTTCAGGATTGTCTAGTTTTATACCCTCATTCTAGCTCTACCACCAACATCTAGGGGGCCCAGGGGAATTAACATAATGATGCAGCATTGATATTGTACTATGCTGTGGCTTATTACTGTTTAACAGTGGAAATAGCTTTTAAGTATGCTGCTGTTACACTGCTGAGTCATGCTTGCTTTTTAATCTTAACCTGCATACACTATGATTGCATCTCTGTTGCAACATAACATAATAGATGATGTCACACTAGCCTCAACTGCCAAACAGTGGAATGTAGATGACAGCAGAATAGTCAGATAGGATGAGCGCTTTTTTTTTGTGGAAAAACTCTAATATATTGTCTTTGGGAAAACTGTGAAGTTAAATTGTTTTGACATCCTTTCATTGGGCTTTGTCCAAATACTTTATTCTAATACTTGGATGTTGCCTTCTGAGTGATGTGAGAGATTCACAGGGTTCAGTGCTCTGTACTTCATCCCTCCTGTGTTTGGAGGAGTTTTGAAGGCAATCTGTAAGTTCCAGGGCCTCATGGGAGTCTTCTTTGCGAGGCAAATCTCAGCATCCAATTGCTGAATGATAAATCTTTCTACATGAACTGCTGAAAATGAACTATGAATTCTCTCCTTAAAAGACTTCTTTAAAAGAGACCTTTCTCAAGTAAAATTACTGCAGCATGGAAGTTTTTGAAGCATGGGCTAAATCTGTGCCTCAATGCAGGGAGCTAATGACTTTGCTGTTGTTTCAAACTTGCCAAGCACATTTGGGTACTATTTTTCAGGTCAGCCACTAACCTTGAGTCTCCCATTTAGATTTATGGCCCAGTTTGAGGAGGGCTTCTGAAAACTGATCGGCAGGCAGCTCATTTTCAGTTTTAAATTAGAGAATCCTTTTAAAGATATGTGCCTAACTTTCTGATTGCTTACTTGTACAGTGGGGATGAATCACCTTATGTGGTGATTATTGAACTTAATGATTGTCTAAGAAGTGAGCTGAAACTGTGACATTTTGAGTAAGTTGCTAATTTAGAACCAGTTAGGTGTGGAAACTTTCTGTCTCAAATACTTTGCAAACTTGTCAATATTCTCCTCATGGCCAGTGTTAAAAAGCATGTCTATTTTGTGAGTGGCTGATGCTTTTTATTTAAATTCCTGTGGACTTAAAAAAGGAAAGCTGTTTCCTTTTCCCTCTCCTCCTTTACCTATCTTCCCTTTCAGTTATGCATTGTATTTTATACAAGATTTTAAAACGGTGAAGAAACGTAGTTCAAAATGACCAGGCTTTGTTTCATGCTTTCATTGACACGTGCACAGCAGAATAAAGGACTTTCATTTAAGCTGCTAGGCAGTCTGATGCACTGTCCACAGAAAATAATGGAAGGTAATTCCTCTGGTTTCCCAAGCCATTAGAGTGCAAGATCCTGATGAAAATGTGTTCTTGCAAACTACTAGATTAGAATTTCATTCCCTGCTCTGTCACTGATTTGTCACTTCATGCAAATAAAATTATGTTTCTCAACTTCGGCATCTGTTAAATTTAAAAAAAAATTGTAATAGTACAGTTTTGTATTTGTTCAATTTTTAGTATTTGAAGTGCTATGAGTTTCTTGGATAGAGGTCTTAAGAGTGAAGTGCATATAATTACTTCATTCATTAAATCAGTTCTTCCGAATTTGACCAGAACCATACCAAGCAGTTTAATTCAAGATCAAGTCTGAGCTTTAATACAAATCCTTCACACAGATATTATACTTACTAGGTTAGCTATAAGTAAAGAAGATTCTATAATTCCACTGAAGACTGTTGAGAAGGTATTTAATAGCTGGCATTTCACTTCATTCGAAGGAAGATAAATCATTCAGATACTTGATGTATGACCATGAAATTATTAGGACTTTGGTTCTGTAAGTTGTTCTGGGTTGGGTTTTTTACTGACTGCTTTAGCATATTCACATTTCAGTAGCATCTATATTAATGAAAATAAATATTAAGATATCTGAAGTGTATAACAGTTGCTTCTTCTGAACTGGTGGTTTCTCACTAGTGAAGACATTCCTGTAGAGATGTCTGTGAGACTATAGAATCACAGAATATCCTGAGTTGGAAGGGACTCACAAGGATTGAGTCCAACTCCTTATTCTACACAGGGCAATCCTATCATTAAATCATGTATTTAAGAGCATTGTCCAAAAGCTCCTTGAACACTTACTTACCTTACTACTTTATATTGTCTTTTGTTTACTAGGAATGATGTTCCCAACATACAGTGAGATTCATTTGGCTCCTTTTTCTGATGAGCAGCTCTACATGGAACACTACTCCAAAGCCAGTTTTTGGTAATGATTATTTAGGTTATTTTATTTTTATCAAAGATTCAGTAGAGGTTAAAAATTAAATCAGTTCCTTAATGCAGCATAAACTATCTGTCAACACAGGAAGAGAATGCTTTTATGTTTTTGATGTTCACTTCTGCTCTGGCTTACAGTCATACTTTTTATTGTGCAAGTCTGCAGGATCTCTCGGGAAGTGCTAGACCTGAGTGGGTCTCTTTTTGAAAGAGAAATTGACTCCATGGAGCATTCATTGTGAGAAGAAGAGTTGACTGTGAATCGGGTGCTAGTGTTCCCTTCGCTACACCAAAGTATAGTATGCTGCAGATGGTGATCACTGTATTGCCTAATGTCCCAGGTGCTTAAGCACAGGAAAGATTCCTTGGTAGTCTTCACAGAGAATAAGTATTAATTCCTATGTCCTGAGCAATTTCCAATTTGCTAGTTACTTTCTGTCCACCAAAATTTTTCATGCAGTTTATTTAGAAGTTGTACGCCTTTTCCTTGGAGTGTCCTACTGGTACTGTCCACTGTTGAGCTGTTGCTGTGCTGTATCTAAGAGGAAATATTTACAGTGACATTCTAATAAGGAAAAATTGAGATTATTCTGTTTTGGCAAAGGGCAGGTTTATTTTTAAATATCTTTAGTCCTCCGTGTGATACAGGTCAGTTATAAATTAGCTATCTATTGATTATTAAAGGTTTTGGATAAAAGGTACTGTGGAACTCATGGGTTAACTATTTTTAAATCTTCTGGAAGATTATAAATGCAGTATTTCAACTGTTCTTTCAGCTTGCAGTGTGGAATGTGAACATTAAGTGGTCCTCATCAATCCTATTTGTTGGTTTCTTAGATTAAAGATAGTTTTCTTCCATGCCCAGGTTACAGTATAACTGCTTATACATAGAAGGTTTCTTCTGGCTGTCTCTGAAGTAGAGCTATGACAAAATCTTCTATTTCTACAGCTATTAAGTGAGTGAGAGAATTTTGAGTGATTTACATGTGGAATCCTTTGCTGGCAGTGTTAAGTCTATTCAGCCAGTGTGTGTTCTTTTGTCTCACTGTGTAAGATGAGGCAGTTATGAAATGTTTGCATTGTATGTTTACAATCACAAAAACTGCAACAATATTCTTCTATGTTAAGAGACTGAAAAAAGAAGGTAGAAGTAACTTCTGATAAGGTTTTGCATCTCGGCTGTCATTCTGGTCCCTGTTCCAGAAGATCCTGTTATTTTTATTCCAGAAGATGCTGTTATTACATGTCAATTATATGTATTAGACTACAAATTACATGACTGAAGCACAGTGTTGTACCACAATGCAGATTCTTCATCACTTAATGAAGAAAATAAAGACATACTTTTAGATACATACTACAGGTAGTTTGAAGCAGTAATACAGCTTTTTTTCCCAGGTCTATACAGGATTGAATGTTACTGCTAGTATGAAAGCATTTCATTTCAGACTGCTTGGTATGATCATCTTCATTTGTGATAAATATAAGACCTCTGTGGGGTAGATACATTGTATGTGTGTTATGTCCATTAACACTGATGTATGTGGTAATGTCACTGGTGATGGAAAGAAATCTGCTGTCTTTTGTTGTTTAAGAATTATACAGTTGGGACTGAATAGTCCTGCTAGATTAGTTTCTTACCATTTGTTAACAGAAACACAGAAAAAAAAAAAAAAAAAAAAAAAGACAACTAGACAACTTCATCTGTATCTGGGTGGCATGATTTGATTCCAGATATTCTACATGCATACAATTAATAAGCTGAATTACCTGTCAATCACTGCAAGACTTCCAGAGAACTGTGTAAAGGGGATAAGCAGATTTTTCAAGTCTACCTTAGTAACTAATTTCTCTTTGCACTAAGCGTGTTTTTGTCACTGACATTATTATCACAGACTGTAGTAATACTTTCTAATTATGATAGTGGTCAGGTTGTTATCTAAATCACAAGATACTGTAGTTTTTCCTCCACTCATCTTTGCAAAAGGATATCTCCCATTTTTGACATCTTTTTATTTCCTGCTTTGAATATTTTTTATGAGAATGTTTCAACCAAACTAACCACAGGAAAGTTCTGAGTGAGAGTGCAGTAGTTCTGCTTCTGTGTCAGTCTAGGACATTCATGTTCTTAATATTAAAAGGTCTGGATATCCTTGATAGATTCAGAGCTATAAAAGTGCTAATACAGAAAAAGCACTTTCTTGGGGTTTTCTTGGATATTTCAACTAAACCATGAGGAACTAGTTGGTGGCAGCCTGTGATTTGCTAAGCTTCAAATTCCAGGCCTCAAGGAACAGCTTTTATTCATTGTCCAGCTTTGTTACTTGGAACAGAAGATGTGTTTTGTGTGTAATACATCCTTTCCTATTTAGCTAAATCTGTGTCCTGTCTCTTAGAGATTGGATATGGTTTTGGATCAAGTTGGATGATAATACTTGAGCAAAAGACTGAAAGAAATACATAGATTTGTTATTTGAATTTTTATCTGGTAAAGGAACCAGCACTTTAAAGAAACCCTTCAAAATCCTATTAAAAAATCATGCTGTGTGTTCTGACATTAGATGCAGCAGTTAACATAGCCTGTTTACGATACAAAGGAGAGACTATAAGTTCCTCAGACACGTAGAATTATTGTCTTGGATTTGTACAGTAATAATAATTATGCAATTGTGGAAAGTTTTGTTTCTTTTCAGGCCTATAGATTGGCTTACTGTTGTGCTTCAGTTGTGTATTAATTTGTATTTACCGGTAATCATTCCTAGAATTGTGATAATGTATAGTCTACCATAGAAGAGCAGAGTGCTCTTTTTGTTGGTGAAAATCTTGCAAAGATAGAAAGATACAAAACATTAATACACAGCAAGTGGTTTAAAAAAGTATGCATTTTGTTTGTGTTTCTCATTAGTGATAAATAAGCAATTCAATTCTACAATAAAGCAAACATATAGAAAAGGGTAAAAAATTACTTGCAGTTAGTTACTGGTGTCAGCTGATTTCCTCTGTTGTGCTTATTTGAATTCTTTCCTTAAAAATATCTCTTAAGATATCTTCTAAGACATCTTTGAGACATACAGTCACCTAGGCATCTTCCCTTTATGCAATTAGCTCAGAACTAGTAGTACAGAATTTATCAGTATTAAAGGGATACTGCCATATTGGTTTAGACTAACTCATCCTCTTCAAAAAAAGTTATGATAGTTTAGGAGTTGTATGATGTAACAATGAGGACAAGCATTTGAATTTTCCCTTTTTAAGTGCTCCTGAAGACTTGGAAGATCATGGTTTTGTACCTAGGTGACACTTCCATTCATGTTATCTGAAAGTAAAGATACTTATTGAACTTCTCAGTGAATTGATAAGAGTTATACACAGGTGTTGCAGATGAAAGTATTAACACAGTAATGATTTAGCAACGAATCAGGATTTGTTAATGACTAGCAGCACGTAATCATTAACCAATTCAAATATTTACAAAATAATTCAGTAAAAATGTTAAAACAGCGATTTAATTACAGGTTCGAAGACAAGAAGATTCACACTAACTTACTATATGGTACCTTAAATCAATACATATATACATGCACATTCACAAACACGAGATGTACAAATACACAGGCAGACATAAATATTTGGATCCAGTGTATAAGTGTGTACCCACACTTGTGAATATAGCTGTGTATACCCAAACACATCAGTAAGCAGAGAGAGTGGGTGGAAGAGAATCCAACTCGGAGTTAAAATTGCCCTCTTCTAGAGTTTAGGGTAAATATTCACTATGCATCAACATTCCTTAATGGGCAGTACTTGAAACTCGAGCAGGTCAACTTCACCCTGGCCTTCCCTCAGCTCTGACAGATAATACCTTAAGGTTTTTTGGTACCTGAGAGATGTCCCAGCTCAGGGGAGATGGTGGTCACAGGCCCATTGCAACCCAGGAGGGTTCAAAGGGTCTCACTTGGGGTCTCTATTTATAGGCTCCAAGATAATTGACTTTTTTCAGCTAGTTTTCACTCTGGCCCAGCTCAAACAATGAAGTATTCTAGTGTCTTCCACCAGTTGCACAAAAACTTGATGGATGTGCAATTCTGTTACTGTTCTCCCTGGACCACATCAAGGGTACAAGTGTACCAGGCTGTTGGGCTGTTATGGGCTGTTATAACCGTTCTTAAGCCAGGCTGATCAAAGGAGCACCTTAATGCTCTGTTTACTGCCATTAGCAGTACTTACCTCCCCAGGTTGGTATGGTATGTGGCCCAGGAGGGTGGTTGGAATCACACGAAGCACTACATGGCCCAGCAAGGAGGGGGCAGAATTGCACCACCACAGCAGGAGAAAGATTACTGCAAGCATGTATATTTTAATTTAAAGTTTCACACTGGAAATAATGTTAATATACATTATATACACATTTGCATAAAGTGATAAGATTAAAATACTACTTTTTTTACCCCATTCTGTTAGCATAGGATGACTTTTATTTCCTGCTTAACATCAGTGAAAAGGAACAGACCTGTAATGGAAGTGTCCTCATCACTGTTCTGATTTTATACAAGGTCCATCCTCAATTCTGGAATAGCTCAAGATTACAAAAGCAGCTTAAGAGTGCCTCAGCCCTTCTCTCTATTCACTGCTTGCTGTGTAGATTCTTTCAGAACCATAGTGTGAAATGCCTCTGTATGTCCATTTGAGGGGATCATGTAACATCGATGCTGTACAGGATGTCTGTAGGGAAGATAAAGTAAGCTAAGGAGAGCTGCAGACAGAAGAAAGGGAAAGAGGTGCTTAGCCACACTTCACCTGCCATTTATAATTATATTGTGCCTGTGTCTGGCTGGAACACAGAAAAAACATTTTTCCCTAAACATTTTATGGATTACTGTTTCTAGGTACCAAGAATTCTTTTATGGGGTCAACCTGTCCAGTCTGCACAATGCAGCCGTGGATGAGTATTTCAGACAACCTGTTGTGGTAGGTTTGTATGCCTGGGGGATATTTTTTGTGGTTTTCCCTCTCTCTGTCTTGTCCCTTTCACAAAATTGTACAGGTACAGTAGCCTCCTTAACAGAGCTCTGTGCCTGTTGAGTAGAGAGCCAGGAACTAACTTTTGTCAATGTGAACAGAGCGGCTGTCGGAGGTTAACTACTGTAATATTTCTGATAATGTTTCTGGTTTTGCTATGAATAACAGATGTCTAAAGATATGCACACATCAGGAAGCTACAGCTTGTGAATAACTATCTTCTGAACATGCAGCTAGCTTCCCTCAGTGTTTCCAGTCTTTTGAACAAGTGTGTTCCACTTGTTGGATGTGATACAAGCCTTTACATTAAGTTTGCTTCACTTACGAGTTTGTGAACAGTGATAGATTAGGATTAGTACATGTGATTAAAGAAAGAAAAACGAAGGGAAAAGTTTTCATTTGTTGGCTGACTACTCCTAATTTTTTTCTAGAGGACAATCTGTATTACATAATTTTGCTTCCTATACTTCATAATTTAATTTTCAAGTATTTTCATACTGTCTTAGTTTGGCTTTCCCAGCAGTGGAGTGCAGAAGAGCACATTAGAATATGTGTAGTTTAAAAAAAAAAAAACAACAAACCAACCATTTTTTAACAAGTGATCAATTTCTGGACAAATTTTATTGTTTCTAGATTGAATAAAACAGTCTTTGATAGGTATATAAGCTATCAAATATATTAAAACCTGATAATATTGCAAAATCTAACAGTGTTTTAAGGGGTACTAACAAAATGAAACATTTAAAATAAGTTTTTTGGGGTGAAGATTGATTTTTGTCTTTTTTTCCCCTTTTTTTTAACAAAAAACAAGTTTATATGCTGACAAGGCAGAATGATAACACTTGCAACTCTTTTTGTTGTTTTTGTTTTTTACTCCCATAGGATACTTTTGATGCAAGAATTCTGGTGGCCCGGTCAATGAAGTACACTGTTAACTTCATCGAAGCCACTGAGGAAGATTTGCGTAGGTCAGCAGACACCAGTGACCTACTCTTAATCTATCATTTTTGTAACTGGCTGTAGATCAGTGCTCAGAGATGGAGGAAGCTTTGTGGTGGATGCAGAGGAGGGAAGGTGGCATGCACCACATGTACACCACTTGTAATGGACTGGAGCATTCAATTGCATGACAATTTCTCTAGTATTAGCACAGAAGCCTGTTGGTGTGCCTGTGAAACACCAGAGATCAGTTCACAAAATTTTCCTACTGAAAGGGATAAAATGGGCTCTGGAGAACAGTATTTACTTCTTAGCATTATATGTTGGGAGACATTTAAATCTATTTACACAGCAATTTTTGTTTTTCTGTGAGACATCCTAAAAGACCTTGTCAAATGGTGTTATCACAAGCTACCTTGATGAACTCTTATGTATCTCTCTTGTTTTTAAACATTTTCCAGTCTAGCAGGAGTCAGCTGTACCTCTTTACTTCCCTCCTGAAATCCTTCAAATCATTAGTTGGAAAGTCTTCTGTATAACCCAACCTGCATCCCTGGTGTCCCAGAATGACAGCAGAGAAGCCTTCTTGGTACATTTGTGAAATAAAATGTACCATATTGGAGAATTTGAGGGAGTACTTCAAGCCCTTGCAAGACACGAGGAGAAAGTATCACAGAATGTCTGAAACTCTGAACCCTTGTTTCAGCATGACTCACAACTAATTGTATAAATGACATGGTCTAGTGAGACAGAATTTCTCTAAGCGGGGGGAAACAGCTGGAGAATTGCTTTTTGTTATATTTCTGCAAGAGTGGGTTAGATTTGGGTTCAGCTACATACCCAGTAATAGTTCTTTTGGAAGGGAAAATATTTCAGCTCTTGCTCAAGCAGTTCAATTTTTCCTTCTGATTCTGTTAGTAGTTCTATTTGTCAAATCTATAGTGGAACATTTTCCTGTTCAAAATTGTATTTAAACTAAATCCAAGTCCTTCACTAGGAATGGGAAATTTTCCAGTGGAAACACTGAACTCCTGTATTTATAACAGTCTGCTGCGTTGCCACAAATGATGCAGTAACATTGTGTCATGGCATATTTGATTCTATTATCAAATAAGGCACACAAAAAACTAACGTCTAAATCAGTGCCACTGGTAAATTCTATTGACACAGAGAAAAAGAGCACATACTTTTAAATGTATGGAAAATTGATGAATAAGAATGGAAATACATAAATTAGTAGAAGATAACTTTCCAGTGGAATTTCTAGTGGAATTTCAGTACTTTTTGGAAGTTACTTTGGCATCATATTTTTTTTTTCTTCTGCAGCATGGAAATCCCTTTTGTTTTCCACATTATGCAGTCTGGACTAATCCATGGCCTGGCCTTCTGGTTTGATGTGGCATTTGTAGGATCACTGTAAGTACTTTTTCCTTCTTCCTATGAAATACTAACTACACGGGGAAGAAAATGCATCTTTCATGAAAAGTGTGCCAGAATTAGACCTTTCAGGTGCTGACCTTGTTTGTAATGAAATTCCTTCATATGAAATAAATTATGCCTTCTAGGTGTAACATGAAGTGTGATAACCTAGTGCTAGCAGTGTGACTAGAAGGTGGTGATCTTGCTTCCCATTGATTGGGGAGCATATTATCTATGGTAGACCACATGCAGGAGTTGTGGAGGGTCAAAATGCACTGTTGCACACTATACTGATCTTTATTAGGTAATATCAATAGGTAATGTTATACTCCTTTCTGTTTTACATTGTAAATAAAGCACCAGCATTTGAACGTAAGCTGGGTTTTCCCATTTGGGCTGGCTTCATTTGTGGGCAGAAAGGAGAGATGGTTGCATGTTCCACCAGACTTGGGAAAATTTTTTCACTATAGCACCAGGCATTTATTTCGAAATGGGGAAATTCATTTGGTATAGTAAGTAGGTGAAAATTAGATAAACTATTTCAGGTAGTCAATATATAGATTTCAACTGTCTGTATTTAGCTCTTGGATAAGATATGTTGATTTCACAGTTAAATTGATCTAGTTTTACATGAGGTGGTTTTTTTCAATAAATTGTAAAATGCAATTTTATTTATTTGTGTTTATAAATGCCTTTTATAAGCCTTTGAAATAAGGATTGTCAATAATTCAGAATAGTATATCCATTAAAAGAAAATGGACATATGTGCATTTGTATTTATGTTAACAGCTGACAGTAAAATTTTTAATCTTAAAAAAGAAACCAATAACTCCACATCAGTTAAAAAAGTAGAGAAAATTGCAGACTTGTTGGAACTGCCTGAAATCCTCTGCTGAGAAGGCCTCCATTTTGGAGTAGGCAATTGCTTTATCAGCAGATTAATTGCTTAATCTTTCATGATTCTATAACTCTGGAAGTTCTTTGTCTTAGCACTTGAAATCTCAGTGGATTGGGCTCATGGTATTACCTTTGTTATCCCTTTCTTTGCACCTACGGTCCCTTTTAAGATATTACTGAAATATCTCTTGCAACTGAAAACTATGTATGGGACCTTCCTGGAGATGAAACTACCATTGTGAAGAATCGCATTTCCACATTCAGGACAAACTTTCATTTCCTGTAATTTCTTGAAATTGTTTGAGTGGTAAGAAGAGATAAACGAGTATTTATTGTCCTGGCAGTGTGGAAAGAGGAGAAAACAGTGTCTGAAGAGTCTGTTTTTTCAGTCTCCATGATTGGCTTAGGCACACAGATCTGGTGGTCACAGGCACAGTATAAAGAAAGAAAATGAGGCATAATGTATTGATTTCCCAGCATAAGGTAGAACCGCTCTCCCAGTTTAAGGCAGTTTAAAGTTTATTATAAGCAGTTGAGGCCTCACATATATAAAAGTCTTAATTTTTTTTTTCTGAAAGCAGAAGACAGGAGAAAAAGTCTATAGATAGTTTTTCTCATTTGTTTTAGGGCAACTGTTTGGTTGTCCACTGCACCAACAGAACCTCTCACTCACTGGTATCAAGTACGCTGCCTTCTTCAGACACCCCTCTTTGCTAAAATGGGGGAAACCCTGTCAGGGAAAGTCCTACTTGTTGCAAATAAGCGGTAAGTGTAAAAGCTTCCCAAGCAGATTTTGTACTGTAGCTGTTCTTGTTAGAGGTACCCAAAAGACACCATTTAATTATGGGTATGCCTGTACCCACATTTTATTTCTGGTACCACTACCAAATTATATGGTATCACTGGTACAGTTAAGAGTAGGCAGTGTTGACCTTGTGACCTCTTCTCTCCAAAAGGTCTTCATGTTCCACTCCAGCTACCTATGATGTTCCTTCTCACATATCTTCTATTTCACCTGTCGCATCCTGCTTTCCCTCACAGTGCTACTTGCAGCTTTTGTTGGCTTTCCACTGCACTTTTGCACACAGCAATTTTCGCAGGTCATGTCCAGTCATTTTCCACACCTTCTTCTGGTGGTTTGCCTGAAGCAGCCTGGTGGTTTGCCTGAAACCCCAGCATCCCTTGTCTGTCAGCAAGTCCCGTGCAGAGACAAGAAGTGGGGTTAATCCCAGATACATTACATTTTTGATTCTGAAAAAAATTCCTTATGGACATGCTCTCCTGTTTAAGAATAGCACTTTTCATGTGTTGTTTGTCCTTCCACTAAGGCTAATGAAGATGGCTGCTTCTGGAAGGACATATTTCCTCACCAGACTTCTTTGCTGTTCCTGCTGTCAGTTAAATGTTTGGTAAATCTACTCCTGTGCTTTGCTTTGAAAACAATCCTCCAGTGACTGGGTCACACAAGTTGCAGACTGGTTTGCTTACCTGTATGTATAGTTTTAACAGAAACAAAGCCTCCTCTATGTAGGAAGGTGAATATTTTTTTTAGAGGGGGTGGGGTGGGGTGTGAACATGCTGAACAATCGTGTGATTCCAGTGACATCAAAGCTGTCGGTAAGATTTCCAGGGCTTTTTAATCAAATAAGCAACAAATACTTCATTTGGGACTTAACAGTTTTCTAGATCTCCTGCTTAGCAATTCCTCATGGAGAAAATAAATAATAAAGATCTTGATTTGTCTTTTTCAAACGTAAAATGTATTCATATTTTAATATATAGAAGAAACTATATGCCACAAGGTGATCACACAGCCACTGCTGTGAATATGTCAATACATAAGGCATATCTACAATGGAGCATGGCTCAGAGATGCCTGAGCTGGTGACCTTGACAGACAGAATGAGAAGCGCTTTAACCATGTGTTAGCACTGAGCTAACAAGCCTGGCCACAAAGCTAATCTGCTTTTGGGATCAACATAGTACCTCTGTGTAACTCTGCAGTTGCTGTTACTTGTGGGAGGACCAGCTTTGGTCAGCTTCAGCATTCTGGTTTCACTCTCACTTGCTCAGTTCTTCCTCTTTACTCTTCAGTGTGTAAACTCAGTTTCTTGCAAAAAGTCCTGTGAAAAATATCCTTCCTGGTGAAATCTATGATTATGACAAGAATGAACCTAATGCTCTTTGGCCAGTCGGGTATTTTTGATCATGAAATAATACTCTGATTGTACTTGCTAACGTTGAAATTTAGATTATTTCTGCCAGAGAGGGGGGAAAAAAGACCTTCCACTATTAAATACTATCAGTGCAAAATTATGTTTTTCAGATCCAAACTCTTAAAATCACTTAAGCATCTTGTAAATTTTACTTCTTTAGAGATGATTAAATAATCATGTCCTTGCACTGATACCAGTGATACCACTGCAAATAAATTTCTTTTGCTTGTTATACTAAGTGGCTATTATTCAGACAGTAACTACACTGGCATTTTTTTTACACAAGATGTTATAGTTGTTTTAGTTCCATTATCTCTTTTATACTTCTCTTTCTGATGCAGACAAAGTTATGATATTCAGATTGTGGCTATGGTGGACCAGACAGGATTTAAATCTAGTAACATTCTTGATTTAAAGAATCCATATTTTAGGTAAGTTATATTTTTGACTAAAATACACCATTGTAGGGTGGTAACAACATGTGTGACAGGAAGCAAAGGACACCTACTGTGGAAGAACAAGCTTTTGACCTCTTACAGTTTATTTTATTTCTACAGGTATAAGGGCACCATTGTTTAGTATTGGCAGTAGTTACTTATATAAGCCAATATTCTATTTAGGCTGTGTGATAAAGAGCAAAAAAGCTTTTTTTTAAGATCTGTAATGATTTAGTGCTGTGACAAAATCGTAGATATTTACTTACTTGAACTCATGTATACATAAAATCTTTTGCTTTTTCCTGTTGAGTGATGTAAATCATTGTGACTTGAGGAATCGGCAGTATGCCAAGATGAACTCTGCCGAGTACATCAATTAATACTGCTATTTGAAATGAAGGACATGTCCTTTCTGTATGAAACATGAGGGGAGGAAAAAATCTACCTCCTGCAATCCTTTCCAACCAAGCAGGGGCCTTGATTCGGTGTTGTTACAACACTGTAATTTGGGAAAAGCTATCAATTACGATCAAAACAAGGAGGAAGGAGCCATCAGTTATTCCAGAAAAAAAGATTTTGGAGAAAAACAAGCTGCCTGTGTTTTGTTCTCATTCTTATGCTGTATTTGGCATAAAAATTAGGCAAACACAGCTGGTGGAATTAATTTTTTCCCAGAGGTACACATGGAAAATGCTTCCTTCATTCATTATGTGTTTCTCACTTCCTATTTTTTGACTCGGATGTGTATGACAAATCCACAGTAAACCGTTAAAAAAAATACCCATTGTGTCTGATGAAAATGAATTAATTTCCATCTATACATTAAATGTGCAGCACATCAGTTGTTTTGGCTTTAGACTGGGGCCCTTCTGATTCAGTTCATAAAGATGCCTTTGTAATAAAGACTGTTCACAGAAGACTTGCAATAACTATAAATAAAATCATGCTCTGGAAAAGATTAATTCCTCAGATTTGACTTGTGTCATGGATAGTGTCTAGCCTGCTTATTTTTTTGGTTTGGCTAATACCATATTCAAATCTAAAAGCTTTTTGTAAGGATGACTATGAGTAAGTTTACTGGTCATCTAAAATCTCCATACTTACTCTCAGCACCCATTGCGTGTGAGTGACTTTTCAAAGATGATACAAATCTACTCATTTAGAAAGAAAATAAGCTTTGTTAAAAGTTTTTAACTGATTACATAAAATGTAGAAATCACTTTCAGAATGCTATCACTCATTTACAAGAAAGCAGGAGAGAAAATGTCAAGTTATGTGTTACATATAGAAATACTTTAAGTTAGATGAAGTCATATTCTAGTTTGAAAACTGGATGTAAAAATATCACTGTATGATTTCATGGTTGCTCGCCAATTAATCATATTGTTCAGTAATTAAGACTGCTGTTCTTTTATACATTGATGCTTAGAATGCTTGGTTGTGAAAT